AGCCCTTTTCCGGAGGATCTCTTATTCCTACTTCAAAGTAGGAATAAGAGATCCTCTGGAAAAGGGCTTTTTTCCGGAGGATCGGGGCCAGTGTAGACGCTCTTTTCCGGCTTTTCTAAAAGCCGGAAAAAAGCGGCGGACATTTTTATTTAAATGCCGCGGGGGATATTTAAATCGCCCGCGGATTTCCCTATTACGACCTGTGAAATTAACACGCCCCTTTCGGAAAAGGGGCCAGTGTAGACGAGCCCTCATTGTACAAGGGGTAAGTGAAGTCGGGGGAAGAGTGCTCTATCTCAAAATAACTGCTGTGTAGACAGTGCCAAAAGGCAAAATAAGCTATTTCGACATCAGCTACACAACTAGCGTAGCTTGAGTTACGTAGCTTATTTCGAGTTTAGCCCTGCTGTGTAGACGTGCCCTATTACTCTCCTCTCTTTCTCTATCTCTCTCTCTCAGAGCCTACATTCTGAATTTCCTCAGTCCTGCTTCCCAGCTAAGGGTACAGCTCCTACAACCCCTTCATGTGGGATCCCATCAAAACCCTGGCAAAACAGAAAGCCACCAAGTGTGGTATTTTCAGCTCTGAACTTATGCCTTCATTGTCTTTGTCCTACGCTTGTCCATGCTGAAGGACTCTGCAACCTTTTTGCTCAGTTCAGTGCAGCTTGTTACACAGGAGACACACACTGTGAGCTCTGGTGTGGAGACATTATTTTCCTCGTTATTTTGTTCTCTGCCTAACAGGTTCCGTTTGTCTATAGGATAGCTCTCTTGTTTTCCCATACACAAATGCTAAGTGTCCCACAGTACCGCTCAGAGCCCAGTCTCCACACTGCCACATGATTCAGCCCCCTGTGTCCATAACTATTTGTGTTTTGGCTCTGCAGCCAGATGATGTCTCTGTGGATGAGGGACAGATGATACATATTCTGTAACATCAGGTAGAAAAGCTGTGAAAGAAGCCCAATACACACTAGCCTAACAAAAAGGTGACTTTCCAAAGATGTCCCTTTTTTGGCTTGAAACAACTCCTGTGGAAAAGTGCTCAGTGTGCCTATGAGATCCTTCTCTCGTGGACTCACAATTCTGCTTTTATGGAAGTGTCCGGGCTCTAGAGAATTTCATAAGAAAGAAACCAATAAGCCTCTACAAAAATTACTGTAAAAGCCTACAGAATTTAATAGAAAATGAGAGCTTTTTGCCCGGATTTCTGGACTATCCGAGAGAAATCTATGGAAGGGATATGAATTCTAATTACCTTCAATCCAATGGAGGAAAAATTATTGATTTCTAATGAACTCCATGGGTCTTTCCCATAATGTTGGAAGCTGAAGACCTCTAGATACAGATCAGGCACAGTACAAGCAGCAGCTGCCCATGCTTTTCTGTGCAGCCTTGCTAAGAGGCCTCCACTGGGTCTACTCTGACCTGGAGGGGCTACTGGAGAGGTAAATGAATCTCTACCTCCAGATCCACTCAAACCTTGGAGCCTTCACTGAGCTGCCCATTGGAGTGTTAGCTGTGATGGCGGGTTTTGGGAACTGGACTAGGGCCACCAGCTTATTTCACACAGGTCACTCAATCACTGTCAGGCATTAATCACTTCTGTTACTTCTCTCTGGCCTTTCTATGAAATGCTTTTGTTCATTTACTTGCAATCACCTTCTTCTGATGCCCGGAACATGCCCCTTCCCCCACCACTCACTAGACTCCCACAATCTAGAGGAATAAGGCTTTCTATCAGCTACCCTTGGTACAGGCAGTCCCCGAGTTACGTGGATCCGACTTATGTCAGATCCGCAGTTACGAACGGGGTTTGCTCCACGTCTCCCTGGTCTGCTGGAGACCAGAAGACCAGGGAGAGGGGGAGCAAAGCCGCGGAGCACGCGGGCAGCTGGACAGCCCACACGCGCCGCGGCTGTCCTGCTGCTGGCGTCCTCAGAGGCTTTGCTCCCGGTGTCCCTGGTCTGCTGGAGACGGTCCCCAGCAGACCAGAGGCACCGGGAGCA